AGTCCAGGAGATTTTCTTCTGGAGGAGGGCTGAGGATGAGGGGGGAATAGGGGGATTGAGCATAAAAAGAGATTGATTTTTGAGGGATGGCAAGATCACAGGAAAATTCCTGAAAATAATCATTAAAACAGAAAGTCAGCACAAACTTTTGAAACGCAAAAAAATGGGTATTCATGTATTTAGAAAAAAAATATATAGCAAAAAAAAAATGTTGAACCAAATGTGTTTTCTTGTTGTGAAGAAAAAGCTTACTATCCACATCTAGAGGATTTCTGGCCTGCTTCTAGAAAATGAATGCATATTATTAGCATATTTCACTTTTGGAGCACAGTTTCAGGAAATGGGCAATTATTTAAATTAGTTCCTGCCCATTCATACACATTTGCCCTTTGCTAACAGTTCCCACCCCTCACTTCCAGGACTTAACAGTGTCCCCTGGGACAGCAAAATAATGACTGATATAAATATACAATTCCCGGCACAATGCTGTACGGTAACCTGAATACGGGATAACTTACGCAGAACACATTACACAAAACGCTTCTTAAAGCAACCGTGTAATTTAAACAGTGTTCAAACAGTTTCTCCTATCATTTCTCTTAAGGTTGACCTCTACTGGCTGTGATGGACAGATGAATAATGTAAAAGGCACCGAAATGAAGCTGATGCTTAAGTTGGTACAAAGCTCTAAAAGGGACAAATTAATGACATAAACTAAAAAAACTAAATAAACGACGTAACTGCAAGATATGTAGACGTAACAAAACCCTGTAGTTTCTTCTCTTGCTGATGATAATGGGGTGATCCTAACCAGGGGTATGTTTCCCAAAAACACAGCCGCCAACAAAGCTAGCAACTTACATAGTTGGAACTATGCAACTGAACGGGTCTGACTATGTAAGTTGCCAACGGGAGCTTTAGGAAAAAGTACCGTGGATCGTAAACGGGTTTAAGAAATTGCCTGCTCCTCCCTCCGAGGTCTCATGTGGGAACCACACAGCATTCATAGATACAAAAGGAGCACATACCTAGGTCAATATAATGTAAGGATGGGCCTAATTATAGAATTGAGAATGTAGAAAAGAATCGGCACTCCTCACTGCTAAAAGAAACACCAATGTTTAGACCCCAGGGGATTATCAGGATCAGAATACGTATCTGTATAGCTACATTTAATTCAGTTTACCTAAAGCTAACAGTGATGACGTGCTACTGTACATTCCCAAACATGCAAAACTCTATTACATATACACACAATATCAAGCCATATCAAACAGTAAGGTATAGGTTTATTTAAACGTGCAGCATGCAACACACACAACACCAAGGGATCTACATGTGTATATTTGGCAAAGGTAACACTGCTTTCCAGCTGCTTCTAGAATAATTGAGTACAGGCATGAACGACATCCACTCCCTTAATCTGACTTTAAGTCAAATTCATAGGTAAGTCAGAAAAAGAACAATACAGTATATAACAACAATAATAATAATTATGCAGTAATAACAAAAGTAGCAACATACGGTACCGTATTGTACCTTGAGCTGACAAACCGTTGAAGTCACGCAATGTTCTCACAATCGCCACAAAGTAATGCGCGTGTTCGTTATTACGAACTGAATTTTTAATATAATAGACTATATGGTAGTCCGTTCATAAACACGAATTGCCTGAAAAGTGAGACATTCTTTGCCTAGGGATGGCCTTGTTTTTAAATGCTTCTCCCCATAATATTTAGCAATGAAGGTCTGAGGAAATAAGAATGTGCATGTTGTTACAGTCCTGCTGGCCTCGGACCCACAGCAAGTCCCCCAGTACAGACCCGATGCAGCCGAAGAAACAATGTATCTCATGCCAGGCAACCTGGAAGCCACAAGTGCCCAGTTCACCCCTGGCAGTCACTAACAGAGCTCTAATCTGGGGTGTCCCAGCCGATATAAGCATTCCGCTCCCGGGAGGAATTAAGCAAATTATGCTCCATCATGCTAGAGCCGGCATGAGAAGCTTCACATTGGGTCCATGTCCTGAGCTCTGGGGCCGCGTTCTGGATCCTTCCGCCATATCAGGGGCTGAGCTCATTTAATAGGCAATTTAAAAATTAGAAAGTGTTTAACCATGATAATAGTGTCATTTACCCTCATATTAGTTTGCAAAAAAGATAAAAAAAAAAAGATTACTATGATTCACAGTAATGGTCCACAAGTTTACTTATTGGACTAGATAATCTGAACATTTTGTAAAAAAAATCAGGATCTGAAAGTATTGAAATAATATACAGAAAACCTATTATCATAAGTGTACGTAAGATGATGACAAACAGTCCTGAAAACTGATCCGCCGATCCGTTTCTCATCTCATCATGGATCAATCTTCAGTCAAGCATTAAAGTGTCGCTCTTCGCATTGGCATACTTTTGACGCAACTATTAATTGGTCGTGGATATAAATAAAAATAAATACTCACTCATCGATCCGATGGTCAAGCACCAAAGAGATTTGTAGCAAATTCATTAATCTGATCGTCCACCCATTTCCCACAACAACAGGGCAGGCATATCCCAGGAGGCACAGGACAAGAGGCAAGGCTCAGCAGGGACGAGATGCCAATCCATCACAGATTAATTCATTTGTGATTGATTTTAAATACATATTTAAGTTACCTGTGCTGAATGAGATGTGTGGCAGTCTTTTCTCAAACGGCGGTACAGTGCCTTCCTGCATTAGTTATATCTCAATCTGCTTGGGGTCATTTGCCACTTTAATTTAGTTGTTTTCTGCGCTCTCATTTTTCTAACATTTACAACATAAGCCATGACTGTGGCTCCGAGCCATAAACCATCCACCATCACTGAAATGTGGCTTTGAAATGTATCAGCAGTCCTCAGCCATAAATTCACAAAGCCACTTCATTAACAGATAGTAACAGATGTTTGCTGATTGTTGCTTACCAGTCATGTTGACCACAGAAATCTGTTCATAAATGGAATGGGATTTATGACACAGAGGGGCCGGGTACTGACCATGCCCTCTATAGAGTAAACAAATGTGCATTTCTCAGTTTTTCTAACAGATACCCAAGCAAGCACTCCAGATTTTATATTAACCATGCATAAACATTAGTAAAATGATTACTATATCTGTGATCTTTGCCACCATTTGAAAGCTGTGGTTAAAATTTGCATCGGTTATGGTGATGTACAGTACATGCTGTAAAAAACAACCACTTGCAATAATAAAATGCAAAACAGATAGCAGGTTACCGGTACCTGTTTGCACACGCTAATGTAGTGAGGGTGGGGCAGGCAACCTTTAAATTACTACTCAGCTAATGTTCACAATCTCAAAGACGTCGCCCTGAATATAATCTCTGTTTATGTGTATTTTACGATCACATACCAACTGTTGCCGCAGATACAGTGGCTGGGCGATAATGCGGTTCAAAGATCCCAAAGTCACTTCAACAAATGTTTAACATCTGTTAAAATCTGGCTGACAAATGTTCACCCTTGTAGGTCACATTGGCGACTATCATCAGCAATTACGTGAAACTGCAAACCCGGAGACATGGTTTATGCAGGAAGGACGTTTAGAGTTCATCCAAGCAAAAACCATCACTCTTCTTCCAAAGCCTTAAACTAGTACCCGATTTAATCATACATTCATCAATCATCGGCTACACTTATTTATTGAACAAAGTTCAAAACATGAACACAACCAAAACAGTTCATCACAATTATCACTCAGGAGCATAGCTTTTATTTGTATTGTTTGCACGCGCAGCATAATTATAAAATTCTTGCACAGCAGTCAGAAACAAAGCCTTTAATGACTCCACAACGACTCTCGGTGCTTGAGGTAGTAAATATGCAGCCCATTTCAATCAAGTAATCTGACACATTTAAGCACCTAAATTACAGCATCATGTCAAGTGGAAGGGGACCGTATATTATTGTAATTTATGTAACAATATATCTAGAAGGAAGGGATATTTGGAATAACATAGTGATCTGTACTTAAACATAGTTGCCCATAATGACCAGTCTTATCGTTTTACATTTAATGTATTTAGCTGGCGCTTTTATCCAAAGTAATACACATTTTTGAGAAAGTAGGTTCAGACAGTGCCTGGAGCCATTGTGGGTTGAGGGCCTTGCTAGAGGCCCAGGGTGAATTCAGTCTGCCGACCACAGGACTATGAGTACTGGACACCTATTTACGGCGAGAGCACAAAAAGATGACTGCAGCTGAGAAGAACTTAAGAATACTGACTGAAAGTTATAAAAGTTTAACCTTGCTACAGAGATCTCTGTAGTCCACAGTAGACGGTTATATAGCCTAAGTGCCTTAGGTTGGCTGGAGTTAAAGACCACAGGAGGCACTGCAAATACATTTCAGGCAACCACAAGCATATGACTAGCTAATCAAACAAACGCTATACACTGCAAAGAGGAACACTGTAAATATTGACAACCTGCTTCATTCAAAAAAAAAAAAAAACGTGTATTATATATTTTTTTTTCCCTCAATACCTCACCTTTCCACTGCAAGTTTCATATCAGTCCCTGGAAACAGTTTGTATCCTACAATAAATTTTTACAGTTGAGTCACCTGCCTGATACCCTTCAGCCATTTCCCTCAGAAGCTGTCAAACACGCCAACTATAATATATGGCCCTTCCAATGAGAACAGCTGTAGCCATTCTCTCTGCCGGTTCCTGCACCCTGTCCTGCATAAAATAATACATCAAGATTAATTGATTTCCTGTCAGTCTCTCAGAAAAGAAAATTAATTTCCATGTAGCCTTTTCCCCCGGCATATGAATTTTGTACATGGCAAGTAATTTAAGTTTTTAATTATGCATGAGTGTAAAAAATACAGGGCGGGATGTTGAATCTCAGAAAGCCACGGGCCAAGCCTCTGCTTGCGTTGAGACAACAGTTGCTTGGTCCTTTAATAAAATATTCAGCGTCTCAATACCAGATTTTGTTTTTTTTTTTTTTTTTTGGCACAACCGTGTTCAAGGTCAGAAACAGGCAGCTTGTCTGATCGCCGCACTCAAACCACACTTGATACACAAGACACCTCAAACCCTCACGTCAGACCGATCCCTCAAAAGCCTTTATTTCACATTCACAAACGAGGAGCAGTCCAAAAAAAACAAGTGAAACATTCAACATGAAGGTAAGCATTCTATTTTCAGTAGTTAGCGTCTCACTGCCGGCCTCTCAGTGAAACTAAAGTAAAATCCACAGCTAGCAACATAGACGTGTTGAATTATTTATAGAGTGAAGTCATTTCTACCGATTTCAAGAGGCGGCTGATCAGTGCTATACTTTAAGACAGCTGTATTCTTGCCGTGTTTTCTATCAAACTTCACAATGCCGCCAAGATGGGATTTGAAACCATGGAGTATTAGGTAATAGGCATTACATGCCCAATCCGAAACCTGTTTGGTCACTTGGAAAGCTGCTGCTTCTCCAAGGTCCTTGTTTGATAGCAACTAGATATTATCTGGTTAAAGTCTAGCCCCAGGGTTGGACAGGCCTCTGCATGAGAACAGCAAGCAAGGGGGCAACGGCGAGAGAATGTCGGTGGGCGGGCAATTCCTCAGCCGAGGGGCCAGCGGGGAAAGTGAGTGGGCCCGGGCTGTGCGGCGGGATCCGGCACCGGCGGCCAGAGGTGGAGGAGCAGTGGGAACTCCCTGGGGAGGAGAAGGCGCATTTGAGAGGTAAGTGGGGCCAGCGGTGAGCTCAAGCACGGATGTTAAATCAGACACATCAGGGGCCAGCCTGAGCCGGTAGAGGGAGGTCAGGACAGGTGTGGAAAAAAAAATTGGAAAGACACTGAGAGTTGCAGGGTAGATGGAGGTCCTGGACAGTAATGGCAAGGAGGTCAGCCTAAAGGGGAATGCAGCGGTTTGGGCAGCAGACAAATAGGGCATAAGGAGGCAGATATATTCTCCTGAAATGGAACAGTTGGAGAGTATTGGTCTTCAAGGTGAGAGAAGAAAAAAAAGCCCTATGCACCAATCTTAAATTTATAGCGGAACAGGAGCAGGTCGCGGCGATAGAAAAGCATAATCATTTTTTATATATATCGTACTAACAGAAAACAATAGTGACAAAGGGGATAAGGGAGTCAAAGAATATATCATCATCTGTCATTTTGTATTTTTGACTAATATATAATATGACTCAGTAATAATACATTATAGAATATATCTGTAAAGCAATATTATAGCCGATATTTAAAAATGCCCTGATATCTGATGCGAACATCAAAAGCCTGAGGCAACACAAGGGTAAGGGAGACCGTTTTCCAAAAAATAATAATAATAATAAATAAATATATACATATATATATATATATACACACACACATAAATTCCCCATTGTTCCGTCTTAGATTACTGGTTGTTAGCATGGCTCCAATTACTGAGCACTATTTGCCTGTATTTTCTTCATTGTTAGAGCAGGACTGTTTAAATTGGTCTGTCTAACATAAACCTCTAATTATTGTGGGAAAGCCTAATTAGCATTTAGTCTAACACCACCACAACTGCGATGGAATTGTACTCATTCTCCAGTAAACAGCTTTCACAGTATGCAATCAAGCTGCTTCGCGATACAATGAGAATTAATAGCAGCACACAACAATGGTGAGTCCTACAGCTCCTGCTGGGTGTGTTTAATAATTTTTCACTCCTCCCAGATTGTTCACATCAACAGCAATTCCCAAGATTCTAATCAGCGTCTCTCCTCATTAATAATATACAACCAAAATTATCTACAATTTCTAAATACGCTGTGGCAAATTATCAGGCCACTGACCCCCAAGGATATGAGTAAACAGAACATGAAAAAGAGTCAGATAAAGCCTAAATTGCATTTTAGAAGATCAAATCTACATTTAGTGGATTCTTTTAAGGAGTGTTAAGCTGTTTTCCTTCTATGCTTAAATACAATAATTGAGAAGCCATGAGGCCTGTTGCTAAAACACACCTTACTTGTCCTTGAATAACAGTTTAAAACATTTATTAAAAAAAACTTCTATATTTAGATCAACATGTGCAGCTGCTTGTGTCAATATCCTTAAGGCCCTTTCTGGCTTTGTTTAATGGGTTAGCCATTTTGTTTCCATTCATCAAACACTGCTAGTGCTAAACTCAATCAAAATTTATAGGGTTTTGAGGAGGCTTAATAAAAAGATCTTAACTTAAAATGTCTTTCCATGATGTGGCACGGTGGCTGAGTGTCACTTAACACCTCCAGGATTGGGGGTTCAAATCCCACCTCTGCAGTGTGGCCTGGAGTTTCCAGGTTCTCCCCTGATGAATGGGCTGCACTTCCAGGACATGCAGTTAGATTTGCAGCTGGGAAAAGTTCCAGGAAACCCTAACATGGATTTGCAGTTAGAGTAGAGTGTCTCAAACCGGCCCTCTGGGATGCTCAGGCAGTCCACGTTTTTGCTCCAATCAGGAGCAGGGGGGGAGCAAAAATGTGGACTGTCTGGCAGAGAGCTGGGAGGGAACAAAAACATGGTCTGTCTGGGGGTCCCAGAAGACCATCTTGAGTAACATCGAGTTAGAGGATGGCTGGATTGTCCTATGACTTGCAATCTTCTTTTTCACCCAGATCAATGGATCAAACCAAAGCACTACTGATGACAGCTTAAAAGGACATTGATGAATACGCCATGCTGGATGCCCATCCTCCACCCACAATGTGCATGTGTAGAGTCGATGACATTTCACTAAAGAGCATAAGGTACCCTTGCATAACCTGGATCACCGGTATAAGTACAGAAGTCCACTTTAATTTGCCACCTACCAATCATGTACAATGTATTGCAATTAACCTTATAACCACATTAAGAAATTTCATTTTAAAATCTGACCACCATAGCCCCTCAGTTACTAAATAATTTGATTGTTAAATAAAATGATAAACCATACTTTTTTTGACCCTATTTATGAATGATAAAAATATAACATATTTATATATACTGTATATATAAATTGATGGTTATGCAAAATATTTTAACACAGCCAAGACAAATTAACAGGATTACTCCTTAATTCCATCTTAAAGTGCATCTTTTTGCACACAGTACAATTTACCGAAAAGTTGGGTAACACTTTACTTAAAGCTGTCATATATAATGCATTGTGGATAGCTTCATAATGCATTATAATGTTCCGTATAAGATTTAATAAACCATTATAGCACCTTCTATTGACAGTAATAGGGCATTAGAGTGTTGATTATAACACTTCATAAGCTCCAGTGAAGCTCTCATCTATAATCACTATAGATACCTTCATAATGCATTATAATGGTCAGTATAAGAACTCATAAAGCATTACAGCATGCGGCTTCTACTGACAGTCATGGGGCATTATAGTGTTGATTATAATGCTTCATAAGCCCCAAATTAGCTTTCATCTATAATGCAGTCAAGATACCATCATAATGCATTATAGTGGCCGGTATAAGAGTTAACGATGTTTTGTACTGCATTATGAAGGTATCTTGACTGCATTATAGATGACAGCTTCATAAAGCATTCAAAATGCATAATAAATATGGCTATACTGTGATGCCTTTTTATACATATGTATACCCATGTTTATAATGCTTTATGAATGCATTATGTGTTATAAATGTGTTCAAAGATTCTTATAGACACCGTAATCATAGAAAATGTTACCATAAGTTGTAGTACCAAACAACCCTTTAACAGTAGATGAAAAAGAAATATACAGATTATTATGTAGGCCTATTTGGCATTCTTCCCACTTCATATAATCTGTGTTACATCAGTACCATAAACTGGTATATACTATTCAGTAATAATGCACTGGATAAGCAATAATGGAAAATGGATGGATGGAGATTATAAATAATATTTTGGTTTATAGTCATTTATAAACACATTCATAATGCATTTTAATGCATTCATAAAGTATTTAAAACATGGCTATATTTATAAAGCCATGTTTATTATGCATTAATACTGCCTTATGAATCTCTCATTTATAATTTACTGTTGACGCCATTATAAGGCAGTATAAAAGCATCCTTAATGCTTATACTGATCATTATACTGCATTATGAAGGCATCTATAGTGCAATATAGATGAGAGCTTCAGAAAGTATTCATAATGCATGATACACACGGCTATAATGTGATATGCCTTTTGATGAATATTTATAGCCATGTTTATAATGCTTTATGAATGCATTTTTATTTGTTATGAATGTATTCATGAATAACTAAGAACAGACCCTTAAGTAAAGTGTTACCAACGTTTCTTTGCATTCTTGCACATTGATCTGCCCACAAAGGCACAATGTTCCACTTGTGTGGTCATTACATTTTTAAACAGTACAGTGTAGCAGGGGTGTATTTCCTGAATCTTGCATGCATTGCAGTCCTCCAATACCAAGGGGTCGATAGTACTTGCTTCAAACCATCCATTAAACAACTAGGCCTATTTCTTTGTTTATGTTATGTTTTAGCTGTTCAGGTAGTTCACTGACTGAGATACATTAAATTAATGAGACAGCAAATTAAAAATCAACATAAAATCATATGAAGGAAAAGAAATCAAAAAAGCTGTTAGCAACAAAGATAAATGAATAAATTGTATCCAAAAAGGAATGTTCAATATTGGGAAAATTTTGTTGTTATTATTGTTTATTTTTAATTTTTATATTTTTATAGTGGAGATTCATTGAGGAAATTATTGACTTACTATGTCCGCAACACAAGGACAGCATGTTAAATGAACAGAGTTAATAATAAAATAAGCTGCTAAGGATGTTCTTGTGAGCTTTGATCATGTAGCTCATCCGATTTGTTTGACACAAATCCTGTCACATTATTTAAACCCATTTGAGATGTATTTAAAGGTTTGAAAATGCTTTTCTGCTAATGAGTAATTCATAGTTTACATTCAAAGTGACTGCCAGACCAGCTCTAAAATTAGCCACAACTTATTGTTCTTTTGCAACCTAAATGAGATGAATATTCCCATGATTTGGATTAAACATGTTTGTCAATAAAGTTAGTATTAGAAATGTTACAGTTTTGCCAAATGTAATTCAGTGATACTTCTTCCAAAGGGCATTTGATGCTAGAAAGCACTATGCGCTGATTTATCCACTTTCCAGGATGAATATTACCTCCTAAATCCCAACAGTTGCTTCGCTAAAAATGCACCTGCCCTGATTATCAAAAGTAAACTGGACACGGGGCACCTTGAGCTAATTTGCTGAAATGCATCTTGACAGCATGATAATAGCATAACCTGCAAAACATTCAGTCTTTACCAATAAGCTAATAACAAATTAAGTGGGTTGAATTGACTTACAACAGATAATAATACCCAGCAGTCAGTTAATACTGTCGCTATGGCCATTGATTCTTCCACTAATGTAAGCGAGTTCTTTTCAAAACAGTGAACTACTAGCTAACCAGGTAACATTGCCATTGCTTAACGTCTTAGTTGAGTAATTGCTCTATGCTTCAATTTATTTCTATCTATTCTATTAAACAATTATCTTTGCTTTTAGTAGGTTTATTTGAAAGGTTTATTCCATAATGACTATCAAAGTGTCGATCAATTGTCAGTGATAAGCTCTTGTTACTGGGCAAAGTTTGCTAGTGTAATACAAATCTGATGTCTATAAAAGCTCAACATAAATCACATCCATCGGCGAGAAAGTGCACCTACAAGGATTAAAAGTGTGGTTTTCTGGACAGAGCTGTCAGTCAGAGCTACTGCATTCAGCAAAAGGAGAAAATTAAGGCTCAAATTTATTAATAAGTAAGAAGTAACAATAAAGTGGAAAAAAACACATTAAAATGAGAAAAGCTATATTTAATTCTGTTCTCTGAAAGACTTTGTAGCATACAATACGTACAGATGTATCACCCTCTGATGATATATAAATGAATAAATAGGATCAAATTAATCAATTATTGAATTGAAAAACAGAGATGAATGTTGGTGTTTATCGGGTGGGGGTGGAGTCAATGAGAGTGAAGACGAATCCCTTTAATAATCACAACATAAGCACAAAGCACATCTGCCTTCCCAGCTGTAACGTCTTACATGTAGAGTACCTCCGGGTGGTTAATGGCCTCTAGCAACACCTTAGGCTTAACTACCATCCCAAGCACCTTATAGAAATTCTCAGTGAAAAACAGTGCTTTTTCATAGGTTTTCAATTAAAACAATTTGTACCACTTTCAGGATACACAGCACTTCACAGATCCATATTATCAAATGCATACCGTCTGTTTATTTCACATGGACATGCATGTTTTGCAATGCAACTCTCCCCTTTTGCAACCTTCAGCGCCAGCATTTCCAGATTAATGGTGGATTTTCATAGTGTCACATCTACCACTGTTATGATAAATTTTAAGAGGCCATAATGTATCTTCTGACTCACAAAGAATATTTAAACAACTCGAGACCTGGAAGGAGCAGGACAGATACATATTTCACTTTTAACCATTGCCAGGAAGTAGACATACAAGGGCACATTCCAACTTGTAAGATGGAAGAGTAATTGCATTTGGCCACTCATCTTTTTTATTGGAAGCCACAAACTTAAATAAAATCCTCCCTGCTTGTTTTCCATAAGGCTTCTGCACTAATTCTGCAGCACAGTCGCTTTCCTTCTCATCTACAGTTAATGTTCTTATGCTTAGTAACAAAAACAGTTTAGAAAGGTAACTTCCACAGGTCAAACTTTGCATTTCGCAGACTACGTCTGCTATCTGTCTCAATTGATAGGCTCTCCATTTATTTTGTAAAACTTAAACACACTGCTGTTATGTCCTCCAAAGCTGGCATAAATCTGAACAGCAGATTAATCACTTTAGTACTAAGCAGTGAGAAGAAACATCAACAATGAAACAAACCTGAGATGTGGCTTAGATGTAAAGCAAGGCTAAAGTAAATTCTCCTTAACTTGGGTTTTTATTCAATAATTTTAAATCCTACTTCAAAATAGCATAGTACAAGCTATGATTATAAATGTATACCGTCTGCTAACAACAAACCAATAATAAGTGAAATGACAAGGAGAGTGTTTGCCGGTAGTAATGTAGTCAAGACATCTAAACAGAGTCATTGCCAAGACCAGAGTGTATCGAGACCAAGACAGGGCTAGACCAAGTCAAGATCAGAAACGGACTAGTTATAGTTACAGCAATCATCACAAGCAAAAACATAACTTTAACTTAAGAAAAACAATGTCACCATGTGCTGTCCCCTCAGTCTAGTGTTACATTATATTCCTCCATACTACCTTAATTCACTAAATTAGGCAGACAGCGCTACTTAAGACTAACCTTAGATGGCAAATGTAAAGGTTTGCCCGCAAAAACTGAAACTACGGTCCTGAAATATATAGTATACTAGTCTTTAGATAAGGGGTTTCTAAGATTTTTCAGAAACAGAGGCAGGTTGTTAACATTAGCTTGATAGCTACTTAACTTACCTTTCCTTAAGCTTCCTCTCCAAGTGTCGGGTAAAGTTGGATGTTGTCCTGGCTGTCTCGGTTCGGTTCTGTTGCAGAATCTGCACACTGCTGAATGTTTGGTTTTTTTTTTTGCAGTTACTTTGCAAATGATATCTTGATGACGTATATAGCCGAATTTAATCACAGAGGAACTAGCTGACATGTTGACTGGAATTCAGTTGGAGTGTATAAGAGCATATTATGGTTATGGGATGTGGGGAAGGGTATTTGGCCATTAAAGAAAGAAACAAATGTAACACTTTTTTCAAATAAGACACACTTCATTGGTTGCATTTGAACTTTGAAGCAGGACATTTTACACCCAATTCACAGTACTGTGTTAAACAGATGAATATTGTTATGAATATGGAGGCTTTTTGATGAGTGGTCTTGACTGGTCTTGAAATAAAACTTTGAACTCTCTATGTCTAAGACCGAGACAAGTCAAAATAAAGTCGATTCTGAGACAAGACCAAGACCACAAAAAAGTGGTCTCGAGACCGGTCTCGAGTACTGCAACACTATTTGCTGGTCCGAACCGCAAATTCACTAAAATAGCCAAGATCTCTTGAGATATTAATGCATAATAAACAAACACGTGCAGGCTCTCCCCTACTTACAACCTATGTGACATACGATGACTCATGCATACAAATTTTTTTAAGAAAATGTAATTGCATGTAAAAATACATTTCGGGTGGCCATACGCCCAGCAGAGCTACACTACCTACTGTGCACAATGTGCCGTATGACAATTGTTTTTAATTTTAGTATAGGGAAATTACTGTATTGCACAACAGTGCAGAGCGGCCATCCCAGCCTCACATACATCTCCCAGTCTTATTATCACACTAATACATCAATACTTTTTGTTTTATCCTATACCAACATAGGTCCATTCCGACATACGACCTGTTTCTTGAAACGGAATCTCTTTAGTCGGGGACAGACAGTATAATAAAAGCTACCATGATTATATTTGTAACATTGTGCACAAAGAAAGCCTGGTAGCACTTTACTTGAGTCTGTCATCCATAATGCACTATAGATACCTTCATAACAGTGTGGAGAGCTTCATAAAGAGAGCTTCATAAAGCAATCATAAAGCATAATATACATGGCTGTAATGCGTTATACCTTTTTAGAAATATTTACAGCCATGTTTATAATGCTTACAAATTCAGAATCAAGCCCCACATGTTTCAGGACCACTGACCGGGAGCAGTCATGTTCTCCAGTGACACTAATGTTTTCTTGCTTTGACAAACACAACCAGCATTCAAGACTCTAAGACCTAACTAGCATTCACCTTTTCATCATACCATTGTACTAGCTAATGAAGTCTTCAAGTAATTAAGTTATATAATAAGTCTTAACCCACATATCCTCGCAACCTATATTCTAGATAGAAAAACAAGTCTAAGTGACTGAGAATTCTTAAGTATATTTAAGCATGCAAAATGCAATTAAGAGCTCAATGCTGTTTTGCATTTGATTTCACATTTTATTATTCTCAAATTAAACGGATTTTACATTAGCTTGTAGTGCACAGGCAAAAATATGTTGTGGCTTGTATTCCACGGTATTTGAAACAAAATCCACCATGAAATGCCTTGTTTTACCACATATAAATGTGTAAGTGGCTGTATATATGAACACCCTCGAACACATCTTTCATGTAATGAAAAATTCATGCTTTTATGAAATATGCACTTTGCAGTAAATCAAAAGGATGTGGATGAACAAACAATTTGATATTCAAGGTTAAAAAACATAGATAATAAATTGCTTGTATGTCATGTTCAATTTTTACTACACCATTATGCAGTATTAACCATAACAGGATTTAAATTGTTATCAGGATGCTGAACAATCCACTGTACGTCAAGCGGGCTTCCTGCCTGAGTAATTCATGGAGAGGAAACAACTATCAAATTTTCCACTGTCCGGCTGCAAAAGTGTACATCAGCGCAGTTCTAGCTTTCGGACAATCCGTTGAATAAATGACTTCCATCCTGACTGCACTTGCCACTTCTATGACGAGTCATATCAGTTCTAATTGTCTTTGTTCCCTTAATCAGCTAATGTCTTTACAACTGCTTCCTGCAGTTACATCCTGTAAACCAAAATAAATCACCCCCACTTAGAACCCAGACCATCTTTTGTTTTGCAACAGGAATGGGTTTTAACCCCATATTTAACCCGTAGCACTAACCAATGCTGCTTCGTGAGGTGTGTGCGATTGGTGGATTAACAACAATAATAAACAGAGCTTCAGGTAATTCCGCACTTAAATTGCTGCAATTATAAAAGGGAAAACTACGGTCATATTTGGATAGATGGAAGATAAGACAAGAAAATATACTATGTGATATGAATACAATACTGCTCAGCCAGACAGCTTGTTCCAGCAAGAAGATACAAGCGCTTATAACCTTAAAAAATGACTGCTGGGTACAAGGTATCCAATTATTTCCTACCCAGAATGCAGTGCTGTCGAGAAAAGCACTATGATTTAGTTGCAACTTTCCCTTTTATTAAAACCCTCTGTCTTATTGTTTTATTGATTTGCAATCTATCCTGCTGCTTTCAGAAAATCTGAAAACAATCAAGGTGCAGAGCAGCAGAATGCTTGGACATTAATTGTTAAAAGACTGTATTTTATCCCAAGCCGGGGGTTTGCCGCAGCAGCTGCTAAGCATTCTGGTAAGGGGAATGATTTATGGCTGTATAGCAATAACGATGAGGCAAAGTCATTAACATATCGACAGGGCCCAAGATGGATGATCAGCATTGATTATTTCATGGCCTGTTGATGCCCATTTGTAGGAAGAAAGAGGGGAGGAAAATGCTGGAAGATGGTCTGCCTTACAAGCAGCAGGGAGTTTAAGTGTCGACTTTCAGGCCGTAAAGCCCATTTTTCACAGCTTGTAACTGTATCTTCACAGCACAGAGGGCCATCAAAATAAGCTTAGTCCCCCCCCCCCTTTCTAAACCAGAGCCATTATAAACATGTAGATTTCAGGCTTTTAGCAAATGATGGGAGATTAACACAGACTTCAACATATACCCATGTCATTTGAACAATGCTTCAAATATCATTACAATATTAACCTCTAAAATAATAACAGATAAAATCACCAATGCAAATACAGGATACTTTACAATAATAAA